TTGGAAAACCTTCAAGAATTTGCATTTGCAAATTCAATTTATTGGGGACTTGTTGAAGGACATGCAGCTGAAATGGCTGCAAAACGAACTGCTATGGAGAATGCTACTAAAAATGCTGGTGAAATGATTGACAGATTAACATTAACATATAATCGTGGTCGTCAAGCTGTAATTACTAATGAATTAAGTAGTTATCTTTTTCCTTTACTTTTATTAAATTTGTTATTATTAAATTTGCTACTGTAAACTAATTAAATTTTTTTTATAGTTGATATTATTACTGGAGCTTCTGCACTTTAAAAAAGGAACATTTTATAAAATTAATAATAATAAAGTTTTTAAATTAATAATAATAATAGTAGAATAAATTGCTTATTTCAAATTAAGAAAAAAATTTTTTTGGCACATTTCTTCATACTTGGAGTGTGGGAACCTAAAGACCTTTAGGAAGCCATTAATTTGCCATAAAAAAGCAAAAACGCTAAAGAGATAAAAATTTATCATTTTGTTTTCACAGCTCATTTTAATGAGCAAAGCTAGAATGAATTCTGAAATTATATTTTTTTTTAATTCAATGAGATATAAAGCACAATATAACACTTTGACCTTTATTTATTAAGTGATGTTTATTTGTGATCTAATTATTTTTTTGGAATGACCTACTTGTTGGGGATTGCTCACCAATTGACATTATAGCCTTTGTTAAATTGGTGCTATTTTGAAAATAAAGAAAGATTTCAGTTAATTCTCTGGGAAGAACAGAACAACCGAATTTTATCTATTTAGAGGGGACAACAAAATGAGGATTTTAGTCTAAAGTTACTTGCAAGTTGGCTCATACAGAGCTTTATTTTAGTCACAAAAATACAACGTATACATGTCCCATTTTCAAATCTTGGTTAATGATTGATTGTTTGATGTGTACACAGTCGAGTATTTTTATCAAATTTGGAAACCGAGTCTAGAAAAAAATTGGGAGCATCTTTGTCGATCAGTTCATATGAGTTAATGTGAAATAAATTCTTCTGAATATATGTTTAAGAACCCGCCAAAATCCACGCAATTTTACATGCTAGTTTTTTTTTCTTACATATAGGAGAATTATTGACCTATAAAATCTCTTTTTGACAACTATTACATATAAAGCAAATATCCCAAAAAACTAGTTGAATATACTGTTTTCCAAAATTATCGTTATTATTATTATTTGTTTATCTGAATTAGTAAATAAATAAATAAATAATAATAATAATAAATATATAAATGCGAATATAAATATTAAAACAAGACTATATGGGTCACATGTCCGACACATAATTGGACGGCAAAATCCGTTTTATTTATATTAATATAATAATAATAATAAGCTTTGCTCATAGATTTTGACAACTTAAAAGTTTCGCCCATAGTTTAGGATTTCTCCCACAGTTTAGGCAATTTTTAAGTTTCGTCACTAGTTTAAGAGCCTAAATTTTTGTGGGCGAAACGATTTCGGATTTACTAAAATAATTTCAGCTATCATCATTAATAATTTATGATGTATGAATTAACTCAAATTTTAACCATTTATTGCATGAAACTCTTTAATTTTTTAATTTTTAATGTAATATCAATGTTTAATAAGCCAAAAAGGTTTTGTTAGATAATAAATTGTCATGAAACATACTTGCACCACGAATTGAGTCTTGCATCTTGATCACGAATTGCATATTGCGTCGGTTGTATAGAATTATGTTAGGTGGTGTTGGGACTTTTAATCGCAATTCAATAATTTTAACCTCAAGTAAAATTGTGCATGTCATAATAATACATCCACTTTTTATACAGAGGGTCAAATTTCATTTGTAGCTCCACAGATCACGCGTGAAAAAAATAGAGTTTATTTTTGTGTGCTCTTTGAATTTTCATGATAGATCAATATCCTTATAATTTTTTCATATTATTAGTCAGTAATCAAAATAAAATTCACTACAAAATGCGGATACATTTCTTTAGAATTAGCAGAATCACTATTATCCCTAAAAAAGAAATATTTAATTAATCATTAAGTTATTTATGTTTCAAATTAAATAGTTAATAATCAATCTCTCACTCAATTTCATTATCTTCTAATTTTTTTTGTTTGGCTCAATTTTAAAAAGACCAATTATTATTTTGGATGTATTACTGTGACACGCACTGTACTAGTACAGTTTTCAGGTTTTCCGGTTCGATACTTATTTGAACGCTGTTTTTTTATTTCTATCATTAGTAGAAAATAAAAAGTTAGACACAATTAAACTTTCAAGTGGACTGATTATAGTAGTGTTGATCTTACCAAATTAATAACTGGTGATCGATTTTTTTACTTTTGATAAGATTAAACGCTACTATAATTGGTCTAAATCACAATTATTACATTGCATCAAGAAAATGATACAGTGAGGGAGGATTGGGTTTGAATTTTTTCTACTATAACTAAAAAGCGAATTTTATTATTTTGTGGATCTCAAATTTTAAATATTGTTCTTGGAATTACTACATTTGTATCTTATACAATTATGTGAAACGTCCATTAATATAAATAAATAAAACACTGTTATGGTACGGGTCACTCTCTAACACACCAAATGCCTTTAGAGCTAAATAGGGAAGTATTGAGATAAGATTTGATAGCTATCATCGAGACAATTTTAAAAAGATTTTACATAAACAAATGTTTCGAATTTGGAAATTTTTATGTGTGACTTATAAAAAACATACGATTTTTAAAAGCAAATAACAGTAATTTTTTTTAAATTACCTCGATAATGGGATTGTAGGACTAGTCAATCAATAACTATCAAATATCATCTCTATTTTTTTCAGATAAGTATTCAATATTTCCCCATCTAGCTTTGAAGTTGGTCAACTTTTATTTGATGTGTTAGTGTGACCCCCACATTATACTTATTAATTCTTATTATATACTGTACATATTTATTAAATGAGTTGATTAAAATGGATGTCAATCTTCCATGACATATTTTACATTTATTATTATCTGTAAAGTCTTTCTTAAAAGAATATCTCAAATAAGCCTCATAACCATTCAAATTCGAATAGAAAATAAACACTGCTCTACCCTTACCTTTGCAATTTCTCAAAGTTGTAAAATATTAAAAAAATTGTTATTGTAAGAAATTGCCACATTAAGGACTTTGCTTCTAACAAAATTTCATGGATATCGACCGCCACCAGGTTTCACAACAATATGTTATTGGATTTACATCTAATAGTAAAAGTCTAATTGATAATTATAATAAAAATATATATTTCTTTAATTTCCTTCGCTTCTAGTAAAAGTCCAAGAAAATTAATCCCACCTAAATGTTAAAAGTAGAAACTATATTTTTTTTTATATTTTACGCACAACTATTGAAGATGCCCCTAGACTAGTGTTGGTTTCTAAATTATGGAATTTCGCAACTGTGCGAAAGTTAAAAGGTTTCGCCATAAGTCGGAACTAGTTTTGAGTTTTGACGTTCCCTAGACAATGTGGAAATACCAAGAAAATGAAAATGATCCATTTGATTATCGGGAATTTATTTACAGATATTGAATATTACTTCAATGCTCGAATCTTATATTCTTTGCATACGTAGAGCCATTACGCCTCAAGGATATGACAACGCAATTAAAATTTCGCATGGCCTGGGATTTATTAATTGCATAGACTGTTAAAGCCTCTCGCTTGTCCGAAACCTACTAACTTGTAGATTTCTTCATCCGTAGAAAAAGTTTCTATAGTTATAAAAGTGTAAAGCACACTGATTGCATGTTTGTAGAAGGAAATTTTATTAAATCTGACACATATTATCAATATCAGGTTTATTTTTTTGAAAATGATTTTTAAAAAGTTCTATAAAACAATTTTCGGAATATCGGATTCATTTATTTATTTATTTATTTATTTATTTATTTATTTATATTTATATATTAATATTTATTTATTTATTTATTGATTTATTTATGGTATTATTATTACCGGGGCGATGCAATTATTTATTATGAATAATAAACATTGACGACAATAGTGAAGACAATAACAAGTCATGTTTTGTTTATTTTGATCCATCTAATACATAAAAAAATACACAATAATTTATATAAAAAATTACCAGGGCAGTTGCACGTGAAGAAAATACTCAAATCTGAGGTCATTTCTGGCGCAAATTTATAATTTTACTTGTTTTTTTGCCAGTAATATAATTATTAATTATTAATAATATCATTATTTTCTCCTTCGCCATCATCCTTTTATACTAATCCGTTTCTAAGTTGCTTCTATTGTTTTTTTTCCTAGGATCTGCACAAGTTTTTTACGGTGAAATCAGCAATTCCTGAAATGCACGGAGAAGAAAGTTGCCATTTTATTAAATGAAAACTCGGATTCTTTATTTGTTTGTTCTGTATCCTTTTATAGGAGTGGTTCTTTGTAGGTTGTTGTAATGAAGCAAAGCAGCCAATCAATAATCTATAAAAGAATTCATCTGTAAAGGCATGCATTTTATTTCAAATTTATCCTCACTGTAGTAGCATGCTCCATATAAGGTAAATATTCAAGCCATGTATTTATTATTATTATTATTATGTAAACAGGGTCCAAAATATCCACATGCGTCATGATTCCAATTTTGTGGCATAGACAAAAAAGTGAAGTTACACGTTAATTACTATTATTTGCCTAGTTTGTCAACATTGACTACACAGTCTATATAAAATTCTTCATGCATTTTTATTTGCTCACCAATAAACTCTCTTTTATTATTAACTTTTATACCAAAAAAAATTTTTGAAAACATCATGAAACATTATAAATACTAACTTTATTCTTTCATTTAAGACAAAAAGACTTTTTGTTTCAAAAAAAAAATTTATTTTATATTTTATTTATTCCCTCTAATCAAACTAATTAATAAATCAAAAATCAAAAATCAAAAATCAAAATCAAAAATCAAAAAATTAAAAATAATAAATAAATGTTTAACACAAAAAATTCGTTACTAAGAAAGAAAACAAGTAAATCTTCATCCAAAAAAGGAAACAGTTTAAGAAGAACTTTAACTCCTACCACAAAAAAGCAATATCAGAGGGACCTAGCTCAAACTGTGACTTTAGAAGAAGTTCACCTAATTGTTAAAAGATGTGCTGATAAAGTACGTGAAAGAGGTTAGTTAAGTTCTTTATTTTTATTCATTTATGTTTTATTAACAATTATTTATTTATTTATATAAACGACAACTTTTTACATTTTTATCATAAAGGTTTACATGTTGTGGATATATTTAAGCCGATGCACATTGGCGATAACGCCAATGAGGTCAGAAGACTTATAAGTTGTTTATTACGTGAAACTCGCGCACAATGTGATGAAGAACTCGGAAAATTGGATATTCATACTATAGTCTCTGCTATGAAATGGGCTTTAAGACATTGTGTTACAACTATTGTCCCATATCAATTCTACGAAGAATTTGTAATATTTGAACAAGGTAATAATAATAATAATAATAATAAATAATACACGAAGGTTATATATATAAATATAAACTGTAAAATATTAAATATTAATAAATTAACAATTTTCTTTTTTTAATTATAGAATCTGATTTTGATCCAGATAAAGGTTCATTCAAACAATTTCTACGCTATCTACCAAATCAAAACAGAGATATACTCGTTGAACTATTTGATATTTGTGCACAGGTAACTGCTGAATCACACATAAACAATATGTCAGCTGAACGCTTAGTTAAGACATTGGCCCTTTGTATTCTGGGCAATCAAGATAAGCCACTTGAAGGTTTTGAAGAAGCCTATAACGAGTGGTCAAAATGCTCTCAAGCTTGTCTACACTTATTCCTGGCTTATCTTCGTGAGAAAGCTGTCACTACCGAATTAAACCCACGTCTCACTATCTTGATAGACAATTATGTTGAAGATAGAAAAAAATCAGTCGCATCTGTCTACTTTAAAGCTCCTAATAATGATGATGGAGATGACGGAAATTATGGTAACAATATACAACAACCAGAAACTTTGAACAATAAATCTAAAATAGTTAATAGGCCTAGAAACAAATCTATAGTTACTTTTGCTGAAAAATCTACTGAATTCAAAACACCAGGGAAAGTTCCACTTTCATTAATGAATAATAACAACAACAATAATGGTAATGATAATGATGATGATGATGATAATAATAATAATAATAATAATAATGGTAATAGATTTACTAAAAATTATTCTGGGAACAGGCCTGTAAGCATATTAAAAGTAACAAGAGAAATTCCAACAAGAAAATCAGAAGTTAACCGACAAACGCGTAGCTTTACTACACTACTTCCTGATATTATGGATAATATGAAACGTAGAACAATAATAAGACCTAGTACAATTATGACAGTTGCGGAGAAAAAATCAGCCGAGGAAATGTGGATAGAATTTCAGGATAAAGGCATTGGAGCATTATCTGACGATTTTATAAAGCTTTTTTTTTCATTAGAATCTCGCGCCGCAGAAGTTAAACTATCACCAAGTCGTACTGAAAAACAATGGGGTTCTTTTAGAACAAAAGGGTTTCAAAGTTTATATTTGGAACCTTTATCAGAAACCAAAAATAATGAAAAAGAGTCTTTATTAGTAAACGCTTCATCTTCAATGGAAAATACTAATAATGATAATGATGATAATAATGAAGATGGTCCTTCAAATAATCTTGTCAGAAATGATTCTGGCGTTTCTTTAAGACAAACTGTTGTTTGGGATAGTTTTTCTGAAAAAGGTTTTGAAGAATCAGATGTTTTATCTTTAGTTTCATCACTTGGTCCAGAAACTTTAATCAGTAAAAATGGCGTTGATGAGGAAAATCATAATGATGGTGGTGGTGATGATGGTGACAAACAATCCGTTGGGAATGAAAAAAAATCCATATTACGTGGTAGCTTAACAAATAGTTTTAGAGGCAAAAAGAAATTTGTTAAGTTTCGTTCCTTAAGAAGAACTAGATCTTTAAGTCCAATCAAAAGGTTAGCTGCTTTAGATTTAGAAGAAGATTGGGAGGATTGGGATATCATTGATAGAAGAGAGGATTTACCTATTACAACTCATTTGGCAATTGAAACAATTGATGAAATCTTCCCTTATGTATGGATGGAAACAACTGTTGAAGATGAGGGTGATAAATGGGGTGATTGGATATTTATTGAACCAAGAAATGGTTTAATACACGAGTGTGAATGGGTGATGATTGAGGAGAAGGCTCAGGTTTTCTCAGAATGGGAGAAATCTTTTTCATATTCAAGAAGAAGAAAATTGAGTGCTCTCAGTACATTTAGTATACCATGGGTTAGACCTGGTGCTGCTGGTAAAAAATCAAGACCTGTCAGTAAAGCAAGCACTAGATTTTCAGTGGCCTCGACAATTAGAAGACCTGTACCTGCAATAATGGCAATGTTTGATAGATCAAGACCTGATGATCAAGTGTTTGCCACAAATTACAAGTTTCCACCAAATGCAATTAAAAAATATAAAAAAGAAGAAAAAAATGAGTCTGAGGAAATTAGAGTTTCACGCAAGATACGTAAAAATAATGATTCAGTTATTGTACAATATGAAACTACAAAAACCAAATATTCTCAAGTTCAATACACATATAAAGAAGGAGGTTACAATGAAGAAAATGGTTATTATGATGACAATTATTATGAAGATTATGTTGATGATGTTGATGGATATTCATCAGATCCTGAATATGGTTATTATGATAATGACTACGAAGAACAAATGGGTTATGAAGAAGGTTATGAAGAAGGCTATAAAGAAGATTATGAAAAAGAAAATTACAGTGAAGGATATTGGGAGGAAGATGAATACGCACAATACTATCCATCAAAAGAATCATCAGCAAAAAATTCACAATATTCAGAAAATGGTTATATTAATCAATATTCACAAAATGATATACCACAACTACCTTCAACTACAAAAGGATACAATAACTTTGCTCAAAGACAAATGATGAAACAAGGTGAATTAGTACCATCACAATATCAGCAACAACATCAACAGCCATTGTCGACTAGAAATAGCAACTATAATGATTATAATGATGATGGTGAAGGCGAAGGCGAAGATGAAGATGAAATCATTGTGGAAGAGAATGCTGATGACATGGAACCACAAATAGTTAATCCAAAATTATTCCCAATGACAGGATTTTATCAACCTTTAGAAACTAAAAATAAAAATAAAACAAACAAAAAGACAAATTTTAAATTTTAAATTTTAATAATAAATAAATTTATTCGCATTCATACACATTATTTTTTATATTTTTTCTCATTAAGCATACATACATTCATATATACATACATTACACATATACACATATACATATACACATATATATATATATTAATTAAATACATTATACTTGTTAATTATAATATAGTAAATATTATAGATAGTGGTTGGGGTTTAGTGGTAATATAATATTTATTAAAAGATCTTGCAGGACAATATTCTTTTCATCAATTAATAAAATTTTTAAAAGACTTTTTTTGAAATGTTTTAACCCATGTGTTATTTATTTATTATCCAAATAAAAGGAATGCAATTGTCATATCACCGCCTCACAAGTCTATTTGGTGATTGGGAATATTATCGTTAATTGATTTGTTGATTTAATGATAATCCTAACGGGTAGAACATCATATAATGATCAATTATTTTGTTAAATCTCCTTGACCAAGGGAGACTTCCATTGGATATTGAGAGTGTGTGTATGTAAGTTGGCTGGTATTGCAGTTGGTGTAGGTGTAGGTGTGCAAGTTTTCGAGAAGGGTGATAAAGCGGAGAGGGAAGCTGAAAGCAATTTGTATGCACCAGCGATACCAATGACAGTTCTGAATAAAGATCCCAAGGCTTTATGGTGTAGATGAAACGCGTGATGGGTTGATACAGTCAACACTTCAATTATTTTGCCATTGATTATTGTGCAAGCCTAGTCTGTTGAAACACCATATATACACAAGTCTGCAAGGAACAACATTCATCCACTTATTCAATCGTGGTCTGTTATATAAAACAATTAACTCCGGTGCCAATTAGCATAACTGGCAGAATAAATGAATATGAACTTGGAAAAGCAAGAGATGTGTTCCATTTTTGAAACAATAACGATTGTGATTAAGGATCCAAATGACTCGAATCGAGTTGAATTCTTTTTAGTAGTATGTGTAATTTTAACACTTGTGTTTCAAGTGAATGGTCGTCCATCGTATTGATGTGGACGAGAGTAATTAAATAATTCATTTGTGGTACTTTTAATTGGCGAAAACACATTGGACAGAGTAATTGGGCTTGAACATGGTGAACGGTTTCTAAATGATTACGATTTGACATATTCTGTTGTTAATATCCGACTTTGTGGATGTCCAACAGCTGGAATTAATAGGATTAAAAATATTTATGAAAGATGATACGCGTGACCACTTACAAAACGCGCCATTTTTTTTAATGTAAATTGTAAATTGTAGCAACATATGACATTGAAAATCAGAGTAGGCGCTGAGATGCAGAATGAATACATCACATTAATATTAATATGGAAAAACTATTCCTGATACGGAACTCATTATAATTATGATTTTAAATGTGGAAAAATTCACTATTCGTATTAGAATTTCATCCCTATCCCTATTCCTAAGCTTGAGCTACTCAAAAAAATTTGATGAATAATCAATCATCATTAATAATAAAAATGAAACGTAAATTCATTTATTACCATACACATACACACCAGTCAATATATATAATGGACAACACTTCTTCAACACTGAAAAGATCCAACAAGAGTCTCTCCTAGTCGGGAAAATTTAACATCATTCATTATATGTTTTCCCGCTGATTTATCAACACTTTTAATGATTTATCATATTCATTATTCATGCATATTTATTTATTCATGAAACAAGATCTTTTTTTGTAGTCTTGCAAACAATTACAAATATATTTTTCTGCATTTAGTTATAGATAATCTAATCTTGATCAAAAAAATTTTGTAATGCGCATAATAAATGCATATGATTCAAATAAAGACAAAAAAGTAAAAAAAGTCACGCCACTTTCTAACAATTTCCTCATTATTGTTATGCTGTGTGTCTCATCAACAAATAACTGATAATAATAACTTCCAAATGCGATAAATTGAATTTATCGTTTTTTAAAAGTTAATTGACGATCCACGAATAAATCAGAGAGTAATAACAATAGTGACCCAATTGAGTACCTTTGCATGAAAAGTTCAATGATCTCATATCCAATTTATTATCCTTTTGTGGGTGTTGTTAATGTACATACAAATAGAGGGAAGTTTGTGATAGTTGCTCATAGCCACCAATGCCACTACCATTATTACCATTAACACGATCACCACTACTATTACTAATACTGTTAATGCTATTAATATTGTGAGATAGTAAATTGGGAACCGACCTAAGGTCCCAATTATCATCAATAATTTCCTTTTATATCACAAGGACATAATCAATTACGCGTCTTGTAGACGTAATCATTCTATTTTATTCTACTTTGTTCAATGTATATTTTGTTGTGCGGAATAATGTAAAAAGTCATATTATCTGTAATACTCTAAGAAGTATTTAGACCATTAGAAATTGCTTGAGTTAATGAATAATCTTTGAATTAACAGCTAATAATATCACTAATTTTTGCATATATATACATATATATATATATATAAATAAAAATTGGATCAGAACCTTCAAACAAAGAGAGATATAAACATGAAACCAAGGGAAATTATCGTAAATGGATCAAGATTTTAGATTACAGAGAGATTTTTCTTACCGAATGAAAAAAAATATTATTATATATATAGTAAAAATTTTTGCTAATAGATAAACTTTATAACCAAATTAGATGTAGCAAAAGGTTCTCCGAAACTTTATTATAGAAGACTTCAACAATAAAATCACAAAAGGTTTCATTCAATTTTACTATATAAAAAAAAGTTATCATGGTTTAAAGTTATTCAGTTTATTATTAAATTTTACCATAAAAATTTCCATCATAATTGATAAATTAATAAAAACTTTTTTTTTCAAAAAAAATTATATTCTTGGTTGAATTTGTTATCTAGTGGTTGTGTCCGTTGATTATCTGGGTGTTTGAGTTCAATAAAGCTCAACTCCCGAATAATCGGTCAGTCAATAAAACTCAACACCCAGATAATCAGTCATTCACTGAATATACGTCGAGTATCCACTGAATATACGTTGAATATTCATTGATTTATATTTATTTATTTATTCGTAGGAAAAATATTTTCAATATATTGCATATTTTTTATTTTTTTAAGAAATACAGATAACAACGGATTCAATTTTATTCGTTCTGCTGTCATTGTGTTTCCAGCTTCACTAAATATAGTCAAACCTTGCCACAACAGATTTTTGAAGCAAAATTTTTAAAAATCCGTTATGACAAGGATTTAATTATAGTCAAGGTTTGGCTGTAGACGCTCATTTGGAGTAGAAGTTGCTGCAATGCAAAAATATTCTTTAGATAATAATGACACAGTTGATATTCATATTACTTGATATATTATTATAATAGAAAGACTGTTGGTGATAGTGTAATAGTGGATAAAATAGTATTTACGTGTTAATGTATTCTTTCAATTACGCGGATAAAAAATTTTATTTTTTATTTTTTTATATTTGTGTACCACCAATTATCCGGTGAAAATTTTCGACACCCGATTTAATTAATCAATGAAAAATTTTCAACACCCGATTAACCGGATAATCGGTGAATAATTGATGAATATCATTCGGCGGATACCACTATTACTATTGTTATCAACATTTACATAACAATTTGTTATATTGATGTAACGTATGTTTGATGATCAACAGCCATAGAACACCACAATATGATGTGTGGTGTGTGTGTATTCTATACAATTAAATCATTAATTATTATGGTCTTGCAGCAAAAAAAGGTGCTTATGAAAATTGTGGTGCAATGACTCATAAATCTAAAGATTGTATGATGCAAAATTGGTCTGGTATAGATGATATCAAGGCATGTTATATATATTGTATAAAACTTTGAGAATCTAATAATTTTTTATATATGTAAACTTTAATATATTTTAAGATGCAAAGAGAAATAGATGGAATGATTATGATCCTTCTGAACATGTAAAAATTTATGAAGGCTTGTATTAATCATACAACTATAAATAATAATAATAATTATTATAATATTTAGAGTATGAAAAGAACATTGTAAATGAACTTGATAAACAATGCACTACCGAATTGGTTAAAAAACTAGTAAATGTACTGCTGGTGAATTTTCTAGCAATGGGGATGAAGATGATGATAAATATGCTGAAAGATCTGATATTCCTAGTCAAAAGTTATACAAGAACTAGAATTACTATAAGAAATTTAAGGTACAACATTATCCAAATGATAATAAATTATTTGAGAAATTTAGATATAAATTCTGCTTGTTATGACCCAAAACGCATTCTATACATGACAATCCTAATAGAGAAATAGGATCTGATTATGTAAGTATTAATAAAATACATTTACATTTACATTCACATATACAAATAGATATTTATATTAAATTATTACTTATTTTTAACACATACTTTATGGTCCAGGCATTTATGTACACTGGTGATATGCTAAAATGGTCGATTTACAATTATTTGCATAGCAAGTTTATGAAAAAGGTACTGATATTTATTTGTGAGCAAATCCAACTCGAGATAAACTACTTTATCATGATTTTCTTCAGAAACTAGGGAAGTTAAAAGATTCCAATAAGGAATCAATTTTGGCAACAAAGAGGATTTTGACACCCACCTAAAGAATTACTATTATTTTAGCTCAATCTAAAACTTATGTCAAGTGTTCAAGAACTAAAGGGCTAAGGCTAAATCTAAATATGAGGAAGATGGTAAATAACAAAAATTTGTTTTTTGGATGTTTTGCTTGTATGATTTTAAAACTAACATTTTATTTCATTTTAGTGTTTATTAATACCAATAATTGGTTTTGGATCATATTGCAAGGTGGTATTTGGGTTACAAGTGTTGTCATTCCTTTATAAAAAATTCTTTATTGTATTGGTGTTGTAATGGTGTTGTAAGAATATATGCTGTAAAAACTTCTGACAATTAATTGTATATAAATTAAGTAGAATATTAAATGTGAACACAAACTTAATATTGATAAGAAAAAATAAAATAAATATTTTTATTATCAGTTGCAAAAATGGTTTTTATTAATATTTTTTCTAACATTGTAAAAAGTCAGCAACCATAAGTAATTCCAATGCCATATAAGGATCAATATCGAATGGTGGTATGTCTCTTATGTCTCTTTCACTGTTTTGAAATCGAAGTTTGTAGTATAAATATTGACAAACCTTCTCAAGAACCACAGCTCTGATAATAATAATAATAACAGTAATAATGAAAAGATATTAATGAGTCATATATCATTACAGTCTATTTTATCTATTTATTATTTTTTATGTAAGATGATAGGTTAAATTACTTGATTTCAGGAAAATGAATTGTATTTTGTTGTGCTTCTATAAATTGTCCTATCAATATTATTATCATTAAGAGTCATTCAAAAAATTATTAGTTAATGTATAAATATGTACACACACACACACATATATATATAGAGAAAGAAAGAACCTGATAACATATTTTTCATAGTTGGTGAAACAAATGCAGCATCTTTTTCTATCAAAAATTCAAATCCATCTGAACTAATCAATTTTACATGTTCTTGTATAGTAGTGGTTGTATTTGAGATTGATAAAGATGCTGATATTGGAATAGATGATCGATTTTTTTTAATTTTTCGTCCTTGCCTAATTTCATCTCGTCGTGTAAGAGTAGGTGTGGAAGTGGAGGTGGAGGTGGAAGCAACTATACTTGAAGATGTAGTAGGCAAAGTATTATCATTACCATCATTATCATTATTAGTTGCAGTTGTAACAGCACCAGAGGTAGTTGTGGTGGTATCAGTAGAGGTGATAGAGGTATTGGAAACACTAATTGGTCGACTACGTTCAGTTGACATTGTTGTTGTTGTTGAAGGAATGCTTGTGAAAATTCCAATAAAATAATGAATAATCTGTGATTTCTTCTATAACGAGAAATTTTTTTTTTCTATTATTAAAATTATGCATGTAATTAGTGGGTTGTATCCGGTTTGAATTCGAATCGAGCTGAATCGAAACACTTTAAAATTCGATTTGTTCGGAGCCTCACCGCTGAATATCTTCATCTAAATTCTGAAGTCTGTGGAGATAAAATAGTATGTTATCTATTTACATGTACTGTATTAAAATTATTCCATGCCAGCACCGATCATTCATCAATTAATCGTTGAAAAATTTTCAACGCCCGATTAACTGGATAATTGGAGCATAGTAAAAGTAATAATAATAATAATAATAATAATAATAATAATAATAATAGTAATTTCATATTTTACTATGTACCACCTGACATGATTTTTGATGTAATTTTTTATTGTTATTTTAAACTCAGCAAATAAAGTGTAATTGCATGATTTTCAATAATTACTAAACGTGAT